CCCGCCCGGCCCCGGGCCCTTTCCCAGCCAGGGGGCGCCCGATCCCGCCCGGCCCCGGGCCCTTTCCCAGCCAGGGGGCGCCCGATCCCGCCCGGCCCCGGGCCCTTTCCCCGCCAGGGGGCGCCCGATCCCGCCCGGCCCCGGGCCCTTTCCCCGCCAGGGGGCGCCAGATCCCGCCCGGCCCCGGGCCCTTTCCCCTCCAGGGGGCGCCAGATCCCGCCCGGCCCCGGGCCCTTTCCCCGCCAGGGGGCGCCCGATCCCGCCCGGCCCCGGGCCCTTTCCCCGCCAGGGGGCGCCCGATCCCGCCCGGCCCCGGGCCCTTTCCCCGCCAGGGGGCGCCCGATCCCGCCCGGACGCGGGCCCTTTCCGCGCCAGGGGGCGCCCGATCCCGCCCGGCCCCGGGCCCTTTCCCCGCCAGGGGGCGCCCGATCCCGCCCGGCCCCGGGCCCTTTCCCCGCCAGGGGGCGCCCGATCCCGCCCCGGACCCGGGCCCTTTCCGCGCCAGGGGCGCCCCGATCCCGCCCGGCCCCGGGCCCCTTTCCCCGCCAGGGGGCGCCCGATCCCGCCCCGGCCCCGGGCCCTTTCCCCTCCAGGGGCGCCCGATCCCGCCCGGCCCCGGGCCCTTTCCCCTCCAGGGGGCGCCCGATCCCGCCCGGCCCCGGGCCCTTTCCCCGCCAGGGGGCGCCCGATCCCGCCCGGCCCCGGGCCCTTTCCCCCTCCAGGGGGCGCCCGATCCCGCCCCGGCCCCGGGCCCTTTCCCCCGCCAGGGGGCGCCCGATCCCGCCCCGGCCCCGGGCCCTTTCCCCTCCAGGGGCGCCCGATCCCGCCCGGCCCCGGGCCCTTTCCCCTCCAGGGGGCGCCAGATCCCGCCCGGCCCCGGGCCCTTTCCCCCGCCAGGGGGCGCCCGATCCCGCCCGGCCCCGGGCCCTTTCCCCTCCAGGGGGCGCCCGATCCCGCCCGGCCCCGGGCCCTTTCCCCTCCAGGGGGCGCCAGATCCCGCCCGGCCCCGGGCCCTTTCCCCTCCAGGGGGCGCCAGATCCCGCCCGGCCCCGGGCCCTTTCCCCTCCAGGGGGCGCCCGATCCCGCCCGGCCCCAGGGCCCTTTCCCCGCCAGGGGGCGCCCGATCCCGCCCGGCCCCGGGCCCTTTCCCCGCCAGGGGGCGCCAGATCCCGCCCGGCCCCGGGCCCTTTCCCCTCCAGGGGGCGCCCGATCCCGCCCGGCCCCGGGCCCTTTCCCCGCCAGGGGGCGCCCGATCCCGCCCGGCCCCGGGCCCTTTCCCTGCCAGGGGGTGCCAGATCCCGCCCGGCCCCGGGCCCTTTCCCCGCCAGGGGGCGCCCAATCCCGCCCCGGCCCCGGGCCCTTTCCCCGCCAGGGGGCGCCAGATCCCGCCCGGCCCCGGGCCCTTTCCCCGCCAGGGGGCGCCCGATCCCGCCCGGCCCCGGGCCCTTTCCCCGCCAGGGGGCGCCAGATCCCGCCCGGCCCCGGGCCCTTTCCCCGCCAGGGGGCGCCCGATCCCGCCCGGCCCCGGGCCCTTTCCCCGCCAGGGGGCGCCCGATCCCGCCTGGCCCCAGGGCAGGCCAAATGTGGGCCTCAGAAATTGATGCATGTGGTTTCACCAATGCCCTGTGCAGAGGTAAAATCCTTCCCCTGCTCGCACTCACCACTGCCCTGTTTATACAGCCAAGGGTCACATCAGCCCTTTTGGCCGCAGCGTCACACTGGGAGCTCACAACGAGCTGGTTTTACACAGTGACGTCTAAATCCTGATCAGGACCCTTGCATTGCATAATACAGCGTCCAAGACTGCGGGTCAGGCCTGCGTTGCCTGTTACGAAGGATACGTTTGGATCTGACTGTATTAAAACATTGCGTTTGCATGGGACACTCTTACCAATGCTCCAGATCAGTCGGTATGCCTGCCCTGTCCTCCTCATTTTCACCACTCTGCCAATCTTTGGGTCGTCTGAACATTTTATCTGCAGTGATTTTCTGTGTCCTCTCAGATCCTTGATGAAAATACTGCCTAGCATTGGGTCTAGAACTGATCCCTTCAGAATGCCACTAGAAACAGCCCCGTTCACTGACAATAGCCGATTAACAATTGATTTCTGAGATCTGTCAGTTCGCCAGTTTTAGTCTATTTTATTTGTGCACGACTGATATTGTAGAGTGTTAATTATCTTATCTCAGAGTTTTCCCTGATATATCAAATGCCTCAGGAAAATCAAAGCTGATTACATCTGCATGGTTCCCTTGCTCAGCCAAACGTGTGCTCTATTAAAGGGATGGAATCCGGTGTATTTGACAAGACTGGCTTTGCATAAACCATGTTGTTGAATGGCATGACTTATATTATCGAATTTTTTTCTTGAACTACTTCCATACCAGCTTTTCCATTGCTTCCTAACCTTCTCAAATCTTTGTTTTAAATAGTACCTTAATTTTTTTTAATACTTTACATATAACAAAGGAATTTCCCTAAAACTTTTCTAGGATTCCTTTTGTTCTTAATATACTTAATAACCTCCTTTTTGTAATCCTCAGCCTGCCAGCTTTGGATTTTCCCCTGATGTCTTCAGTGTCCCTTATCAGTTTTCATAACTTCCATTATGTGTTGCTGGCTATTTTCCCTTTTCCCCATTGATATTGTTACGAACACTCCTCCTGGTGCATGGTGTGTTTGCTTTTAGACAATGGTGGGCCCCAAACCAAAACGGAGTCACATGTGCTAATTTTTCCTTAACAATATACATATATCTTCCCCACCCTAATTACTGCCTTCACTTTGCAACTGGACCGGCTTTTTAGCCAAAGGTTTTCAGCATCTTGACGGAGCAATCATGCCTTTCTTGCTATCTCATGATCTCTTTTTAAAAAACACTCTCAATTTGCATTCCCATTTTTTGTCTAATTATTTCCTTCCAATCAGTTTTGATGAGAGTTTTCCTCAGCTTTGGGGAATTAGCACTTTAAAAGCACTAAGTGTCTATAGAAAGTACTGGTTTGGTGTTCTTCTCTGTTTCTCCATTTGAATGTAATCAGTTCCGTTCTTTATTTTGCTGTCCTCTATTATATGCCCCCTTGTTTGTCTCTTCTCTAAGCAGCCTCAGACTTTTCAGTCTGTCCACATATGGCAGCCTCCCCATTCTCAGAGCCTGTCTTGGAAATCCCCTTTTTATTTGCTAGATCATTTATAGAGACCAGGTAACCAAAACTGAGCACATATCCAAAGCAGATTAGTTTCCATTCCATTCCGAAGGCATCCAGATATTGTTTTTCTTTTGGCACCTGTGAAGGAGCGGGTGTTTCTCCGGAGCTGTTATCAGTGATGCCCAGGCCCTTTCTCTGAGGTGTTTTCTAGTTGGGATGTTTCCCCTGGCACGTCTTGGCAAAGGTTTGGGTTTTCTCTCCTCTCATATTTTAAGCAACCAGATGAAAAATGGGAACTGCCTACATGGATTCTCTAGCCTGGCTTTCTTTGTGTTAAGGAACAATGATTGATAACCAATATTCACACTCGTGTTTCCTGTTGGTGCCTCTTAAGGTTTCCCCACTAAGACATGTAAGAATTATTGGATCCTGGGAACTACAGGCCAGTCAGCCTCACTTCAGTCCCTGGAAAAATCATGGAGCAGGTCCTCAAAGAATCAATCCTGAAGCACTTGCATGAGAGGAAAGTGATCAGGAACAGCCAGCATGGATTCACCAAGGGAAGGTCATGCCTGACTAATCTAATCGCCTTCTATGATGAGATTACTGGTTCTGTGGATGAAGGGAAAGCAGTGGATGTATTGTTTCTTGACTTTAGCAAAGCTTTTGACACGGTCTCCCACAGTATTCTTGTCAGCAAGTTAAGGAAGTATGGGCTGGATGAATGCACTACAAGGTGGGTAGAAAGCTGGCTAGATTGTCGGGCTCAACGGGTAGTGATCAATGGCTCCATATCTAGTTGGCAGCCGGTATCAAGTGGAGTACCCCAAGGGTCGGTCCTGGGGCCGGTTTTGTTCAATATCTTCATAAATGATCTGGAGGATGGTGTGGATTGCACTCTCAGCAAATTTGCGGATGATACTAAACTGGGAGGAGTGGTAGATACGCTGGAGGGGGAGGGATAGGATACAGAAAGACCTGGACAAATTGGAGGATTGGGCCAAAAGAAATCTGATGAGCTTCAATAAGGATAAGTGCAGAGTCCTGCACTTAGGACGGAAGAACCCAATGCACAGCTACAGACTAGGGACCGAATGGCTAGGCAGCAGTTCTGCGGAAAAGGACCTAGGGGTGACAGTGGACGAGAAGCTGGATATGAGTCAGCAGTGTGCCCTTGTTGCCAAGAAGGCCAATGGCATTTTGGGATGTATAAGTAGGGGCATTGCCAGCAGATCGAGGGACGTGATCATTCCCCTCTATTCGACATTGGTGAGGCCTCATCTGGAGTACTGTGTCCAGTTTTGGGCCCCACACTTCAAGAAGGATGTGGATAAATTGGAGAGAGTCCAGCGAAGGGCAACAAAAATGATTAGGGGCCTGGAACACATGACTTATGAGGAGAGGCTGAGGGAGCTGGGATTGTTTAGTCTGCAGAAGAGAAGAATGAGGGGGGATTTGATAGCTGCTTTCAACTACCTGAAAGGGGGTTCCAAAGAGGATGGCTCTAGACTGTTCTCAATGGTAGCAGATGACAGAACGAGGAGTAATGGTCTCAAGTTGCAGTGGGGGAGGTTTAGATTGGATATTAGGAAAAACTTTTTCACTAAGAGGGTAGTGAAACACTGGAATGCGTTACCTAGGGAGGTGGTAGAATCTCCTTCCTTAGAGGTTTTTAAGGTGAGGCTTGACAAAGCCCTGGCTGGGATGATTTAACTGGGAATTGGTCCTGCTTCGAGCAGGGGGTTGGACTAGATGACCTTCTGGGGTCCCTTCCAACCCTGATATTCTATGATTCTATGATTCTATTGATGCATGGAGCATCATCATATATTGAATTGGCATAAGGAAGGTCAGTTGTTCAAAATTCATTTATTTAAATAATAAGAATGTCATTTCTCAGTGTATGAAGAGCAACCAATCTACTTCACTTGCAAGAACAGTCTCCGCTAGTGTATGTAGTGTCTCATATTCACATTGTCTCTCCATCTAGGCATTTGTAAAGCGACCATCACCCTGCACCCTACGGTACACGCAGGAGACACCGTTCTGCCTCAGAGTTGGACACGTTCTCCCTGCCTCCATGTCAGAGTCCAACACAACCGACTTCACCAACCCCTCCACCTTCATCCTGCTGGGCATTCCTGGCCTGGAGGCGGCCCATGTCTGGATCTCCATCCCCTTCTGTGCCATGTACGTCATAGCCATGTCGGGGAACGTCACCATCCTGTTCATCGTGAAGACAGAACCAAGCCTCCGTGGGCCCATGTACTATTTCCTCTGCATGCTGGCCGTCACCGACCTGGGCCTGTCCACGTCCTGCCTCTGAAAAAAGAAAAAAGAAAAGGAGGACTTGTGGCACCTTAGAGACTAACCAATTTATTTGAGCATGAGCTTTCGTGAGCTACAGCCCACTTCATCGGATGCATCTCAAAGCTCATGCTCAAATAAATTGGTTAGTCTCTAAGGTGCCACAAGTCCTCCTTTTCTTTTTGCAAATACAGACGAACACGGCTGTTACTCTGAAACCTGAAAAAAGAAAGTGTGTGTGTGTGTGTGGGGGGTGGGGGGGTAGCTCCCTTTGATGGACACCCAGCCAGCCAGTTCGCTGTAAAATCCCTCTTGGTCTGTCTCTCTCCTTGCTTTACCTGTAAAGGGTTCAGCGTCCCCCAGGTAAAGGGAAAAAGTGGCAGTGAGCAAAGGAGCCAGTGGGAAGGTACGAGCGGGAGGACGTGGGGCACTCAGAGACTCAGCGGCTTATTAGAGCAGAAGCTTTCATGAGCTACAGCTCCCTTCGTCGGACGCCTGCAGTGGAAAATGGGAAGGAACTTTTTAAAATGGGGAAAGAAACTTTCCCTTTGTCTGTTGTTCTCGGGCTGCAGGGACTCGGGCAGCTGTGCTGTACGCAGCGTCAGCCGGGGCTGATTACAGCCCATCGCTTCTGCCTCCAACCGACTTATCTGGAGCCCCAGCTATGTACGTAAAACTCGGGAATGGCTAGAAAGACGCGATCAGGGCTTGTGGACACCTCTGTGCTAACCCCAGATGCTTTTGTTTGCTTGTAACCTTTAAGCTGGACCCCCAAGAAAGCTAGTTTGGGTGCTTGATTTTTGGAATTGCTCTTTTAAAATCTAGCAAAAGCCTAAGGTCCAGATGGATTTTCTTCCTTTTTGTTTTTAATAAAATGTACCGTTTTGAAGAACAGGACTGGATTTTTGGTGTCCTAAGAGGCTTGTGCAGGTTGTTTGATTAGCTGGTAGCCACAGCTGATTTCCTTTGTTTTCTTTCTCAGCTCTTCCCCGGAGGGGCAGGGGTGAAAGGGCTTGAGGGTGCCCCACAGGGAGGAATTCCCAAGTGCTCCTTCCTGGGTCCAAGGGGTTTTTTGCATTTGGCTGGTGGCAGCGTTTACTAAGCCAAGGTCAGAGAGAAGCTGTAACCTTGGGAGTTTAATACAAGCCTGGAGTGGCCAGTATTAATTTTTGAAATCCTTGTGGGCCCCCATCTTCTGCACTCGGAGTGCCAGAGTGGGGATTCAGCCTTGACAGGGGCCTTTTCCCTCTAGGGGACACCGGCTCTGATCCAGCCCCCGGGCCGGCCACTGGGACACAACCCTTTCCTCTCTAAGGGTCTCAGGCTCCCATCCATCGACAGGGCCGGCCACTGGGACATGGGGCCTTTCCCCACCCATGTCCGGCCACTGGGATATGGGGCCTTTCTCCTCTCGGAGGTGCCTGCTCCCATCCAGCCCCAGGGCTGGCCGCAATACTCCTTTTCTTTTTGTGAATACAGACTAACACGGCTGCTACTCTGAAACCTACATTTCAAGGATGATTTTAACTAGTTGATTCTGGGAAACTTTCACGGGAGAGTGCATCAGCCACTTCGTAAGGAGCTCCTGAAATGTGTTGGATGTCAAAATCAAAATCTTGGAGAGCTAAACTCCACCAAAGAGGTTTCTTGTTATTTCCCTTGGTGGTATGCAACCAATTCAGCGCAGCATGGTCGGTTTGCAGGTGGAAACGCTGTCCCCAAAAATATGGGCGTAGCTTTTCCAGAGCGTAGACAATGGCGTAACATTCTTTTTCACTGACTGGCCAGTGGCTTTCCCTCTCAGACAGCTTCTTGCTGAGAAACATGACAGGATGCAATTCTTGATCTGGTCCTTTCTGCATTAAAACTGCTCCCACACCATGCTCGGACGCATCTGTGGTTACTAGGAACGGTTTGTCAAAGTCTGGGGCCCTTAGTACAGGGTCAGACATGAATGTCGCTTGAAGCTGGTTAAAGGCCTTCTGACACTCTTCAGTCCACTGAACGGCATTTGGCTGTTTCTTTTTGGTTAGGTCTGTCAGTGGGGCGGTGATTTCGCTGCAGTGCAGCACAAATCGCCTGAAATATCCGGCCAAGCCTAAGAAGGATTGGACCTGTTTCCTTGACTTTGGGACAGGCCACTTTTGGATAGCATCCACTTTCACCTGTACGGGGTTAATAGTTCCTTGGCCCACCTGGTGTCCAAGGTAAGTCACTCTGTTTAGGCCTATTTGACACTTCTTAGCCTTAACAGTTAGTCTTGCCTCTTTTATGCGCTTGAAGACTTTTTGTAGATGCTCCAGGTTTTCTGCCCAGGAATCTGAAAATATGGCCACATCGTCAAGGTAGGCGACTGCATATTCTCCTAATCCCGCTAGGAGACCATCTACAAGTCTTTGGAAGGTGGTGGGGGCATTTCGCAGCCCGAAAGGGAGTACATTAAATTCATACAGCCCGAGATGGGTGGTGAAGGCTGACCTTTCCTTGGCGGATTCATCTAGCGGTACTTGCCAGTACCCCTTGGTTAAGTCCAAGGTAGAGATGAACTGGGCCCGTCCCAGTTTCTCTAATAGTTCATCTGTGCGTGGCATTGGATAGTTGTCTGGGCGAGTTACAGCATTTAGCTTACGGTAGTCCACGCAAAAACGTATTTCCCCATCTGGTTTGGGAACTAGAACCACTGGAGATGCCCATGCACTTTCAGAGGGGCGGATTACCCCCATCTGTAACATATCCTGGATCTCCCGTTCTATAGCAGTTTTAGCTTGAGGAGACACCCGGTAAGGTTGGACCCTAATTGGGTGAGCATTCCCTGTGTCAATGGAGTGGTATGCCCGTTCAGTCAGTCCTGGGGTGGCTGAGAACGTCGGTGCGTAGCTAGTGCACAGCTCCTGGATCTGCTGTCGCTGCATACGCCCAAGGGTCATGGAGAGGTTCCCCTCTTCCACACCATCCCCACATTTCCCTTCGTAGTAGACACCTTCGGGCCACTCAGCGTCGTCTCCTCCCTGGGCTGTAAACTGACAAACCTTTAACTCTCTGGAATAAAAGGGCTTTAGAGAATTAATATGGTGCACCTTAGGCTTTCGATTGGAGGTGGGGGATGCTATGAGATAATTAACAGCTCCCAGGCGCTCCTGGACCGTGAATGGCCCTTCCCACGATGCTTCCATTTTATGGGCCTGGAGCGCCTTTAAGACCATGACCTGGTCTCCTGCTTTGAAGGAACGCTCTCTGGCATGTTTATCATACCAGGCTTTTTGCTCTTCCTGAGCATCTTTTAGGTTTTCTTTTGCAAGGGCTAAAGAGTCGCGGAAGGTGTTTTGAAGGTTGGTTACAAAGTCCAGAATGTTAGTTCCTGGAGACGGTGTAAACCTCTCCCCTTGCTGCTTCCCCAACTGTAATGGCCCCTTAACCTCACGGCCATATACAAGTTCAAATGGGGAAAACCCTAAACTGGGGTGTGGTACAGATCTGTAGGCAAAGAGCAACTGCTGCAACACTAGGTCCCAATCACTGGAGTGCTCGTTTATGAATTTACGTATCATGGCCCCCAAAGTTCCATTAAACTTCTCCACCATGCCATTTGTTTGATGGTGGTAAGGAGTGGCAACCAAGTGATTTACCCCATGAGCTTCCCAAAGGTTTTCCATAGTTCCTGCCAGGATATTAGTCCCTGCATCTGTGAGGATGTCGGAGGGCCAACCTACCCTGGCAAAAATGTCTGTTAGTGCCTGGCACACACTTTTAGCCCTGGGGTTGCTTAGAGCTACTGTTTCCGGCCATTGGGGGGCAAAATCCATGACAGTCAGTATGTACTGCTTTCCTCTGGGTGTCTTTTTACAAAAAAGGACCCAGAATATCCACAGCTACCCGCTGAGATTGAACTTCAGTGATGGAGAGTGGCTGGAGAGGGGCTTTGATCTGGTCTTGGGGTTTTCCCACTCTTTGGCACACCTCACAAGACCGGACATAGATAGAAACATCCTTGCCCATTCCCTCCCAGTGGAATGACCCCCCAAAACGGTCTTTGGTCCTGTTCACCCCAGCATGGCCACTAGGATGATCGTGGGCTAATCTCAAGAGCTTGACCTGGTACTTAGTTGGAACTACGAACTGTCTCTGAGGATGCCAGTCTTCCTGGTGTCCCCCAGAAAGAGTTTCCTTGCATAAAAGTCCCCTTTCTACAACAAACCTGAATCGATCAGAAGAGCTGAGAGGCGGTGGGTTGCTCCGTGCTGCCGTCCAAGCTCTCTGGAGGCTTTCATCTGCTTCCTGTTCGGTCTGGAACTGTTCCCTTGATGCTGGAGACATCAGTTCCTCATTGGATTGTGGACCTGGGCTTGGTCCCTCTGGAAGCGATGTAGGGGATGGAGCTGTTTCCGTTGACTGGGAACTGCTCTCCGCTGGGGCACTATGTTGGGGTTCAGGCTCTGGCTGAGCCTCTTGTGTAGGGTTATCGGCTGCTGCCAGGGCAGGCTCGGTGGTGCCCTCTGGTATTGGAGCTGTAGACGGGGTTGCAAGTGCTGGACTCAGGGCTGGCAATGGGTCTGGTGTTGGTTGCTCCGCCGGTTCCGGTTCAGGTACTGGCTTTCGCTGGGTCTCTGGGGCTGGATCCACTACGGCCATTGCAGTTGTTGGCAGGGGATCCGGTTCTACCACCTCCATCTGGGTCTCTGGTAACACAGACGGGGCCCTGTTGGAAGGCTCAGGAAGAGGGATAGGTGTGGAAGCTGGCTTTGTCTGGCTGAAGTTGACCATTCCCACCCTCTTGGCCAGCTTCACATGGTTGGCCAAGTCTTCCCCCAGCAGCATGGGGATGGGATAATCATCATAGACTGCAAAAGTCCACATTCCTGACCAGCCCTTGTACTGGACAGGCAACTTAGCTGTAGGCAAATTGAAAGAGTTGGACCTGAAGGGTTGAATCGTCACTTGGGCCTCTGGGTTGATTAAGTTGGGGTCCACTAAGGATTGATGGATAGCTGACACTTGTGCTCCGGTGTCCCTCCACGCGGTGACCTTCTTCCCGCCCACACTCACAGTTTCCCTCCGCTCCAAGGGTATCTGGGAGGTATCTGGGCCTGTGGACCTCTGGTGTGATCCCGGTGCAATGAACTGTAATCTGTTGGGGTTCTTGGGGCAGTTGGCCTTTACATGCCCCAGCTCGTTACATTTAAAACATCGTCCAGCTGACGGGTCACTGGGGTGAGGGGGGTTGCTGGAGAACGGGGTGGTGGGACGATAAGGGGTCTGGAGGGTTCTTTGGGAGGTAGGTGGGGCCTTGGGCGGCCCCCGGTAATAGGGTGTGGTCTGGGGTGGTCCCTTCTGGTCTCCGCTCCAACTGCGACCAGTTTTCTTCTTCTCTGCCACCTCCACCCATCTGGCTCCAATCTCTCCTGCCTCGATTACAGTTTTGGGCTTCCCATCTAGGATGTATCTTTCTATTTCCTCAGGAACACCCTCTAAGAATTGTTCCATTTGCATTAGGAAGGGCAAATTTACTGGAGAGTCAACACTTGCTCCTGATATCCAGGCATCCCAATGTTTCACAATGTGGTAGGCATGTCGGGCAAATGACACGTCTGGTTTCCACCTTAGGGCTCTGAACCGCCGACGGGAATGCTCGGGTATTAGCCCCATTCTGACTCTCGCCTTGGATTTAAACAGTTCATACTTGTTCATGTGTTCTTTAGGCATTTCAGCTGCCACCTCAGCTAAGGGTCCACTGAGCTGCGGCCTCAGCTCTACCATGTATTGGTCAGTAGAGATGCTGTACCCAAGGCAGGCCCTTTCGAAGTTTTCTAAGAAGGCCTCAGTATCATCACCTGCCTTGTAGGTGGGGAACTTTCTGGGATGGGAAGTGGTACCTGGAGAAGGATTGCTAGGGTTTGTTGGTATATTCTGCTGAGCCTTTGCCTTCTCCATCTCCAGTGCATGCTTCCTCTCTTTTTCCTTCTCTTCCTCCATGTGCTTCCTCTCTTTTTCCTTCTCCTTCATAGCTCTCTTGTGGGCAGCTTCCTCTGCCTCCACCCTGGCTTTTTCTGCCTTCACCTCCAAGTGCCTTAAGGCCATCTGTCCATCATGCTCTTTTTGTTTCTCTTCAGCTTTGAATCTGACCAGCTCTCAGGGCCGGTGCAAGGAGGTTTCACGCCCTAGGCGAAACTTCCACCTTGCACCGCCCCCCCATGGCAGCTCCCTGTCCCCCCCTCCGCCCTGAGGCGCCCCCACTGCAGCAGCTCCCTGCCGCCGCCCCCCCCTCAGCCTGGGGAGCCCCCCCCACGCAGCTCCCCACCGCCCCCTGCCCCCCCTCGGCCCGGGGAGCCATGTGCAGCAGCTCCCCGCCCCAGGTCACCTCTGCTCCGCCTCCTCCCCGAGCACGCCGCCGCTTCTCCCGCCTCCCAGGCTTGTGGAGCCAATCAGCTGTTTGGCGGCAAGCCAGGGAGGGAGAGAAGCAGAGCGGGGCGGGGCTCGGGGAGGAGGCGGAGCAGAGGTGAGCTGGGGTGGGGAGCGGTTCTCCTGCGCGCCCCCACCCCCGTTACTTGCTGCAGGCGGCCCTCCCCGCGCCCCCCTGCTCCAGCTCACCTCCGCTCCACCGCCGCCCCCAAGCACTTGGTGCCCTAGGCGACCGCCTAGTTTGCCGCGTGGTTGCACCGGCCCTGCCAGCTCTAGTTTATTCACTGCTTCGCTGGTAGTCATTTTCCTGCTTTCTTGTGCGTAACTCTAGCTGTACCGGAGAGTTCGGAAAAAAACAAACAAAACAAAAAACTTGTGAATTTCCCTGCAGGAGGTTAACTACCCTGCCTTTAGGTAGAGAAAAACCCAGCTCAAAAAAGAAAAATCCCTTTGTAAAAAAACGAACACCTCAGTCTCCAGGTAAATAGACAGAAAACCCTCAAGCTGCTCTCAGCTTAAAACCCCTCTTCAGGTCTGTGCTTTTGGTTCAAAATGATCCCACCGCTCTGCCACCATGTCAGGGTTCCCTCCCCACACTGAACTCTGGCGTACAGATGTGGGGACCCGAATGAAAGACCCCCTAAGCTTATTCTTACCAGCTTAGGTTAAAAACTTCCCCAAAGTACAAACTTTGCCTTGGCCTTGAATCGTATGCTGCCACCACCAAGTGCATTAAACAAAGAATAGGGAAAGAGCCCACTTGGAGATGTCATTCCCCCAAAATATCCCCCCAAGCCCTACACCCCCTTTCCTGGGGAAGGCTTGATAATAATCCTCACCAATTGGTACATGTGAAAGCAGACCCAAACCCTTGGATCTTAAGAACAATGAAAAATCAATCCGGTTCTTAAAAGAATTTTAATTCGAGAAAAGGTAAAAGAATCACCTCTGTAAAATCAGGCTGGAAAATACTTTCTAGGGTATTCAGATTCAAAACACAGAGGATCCCCCTCGGGGCAAAACCTTAAAGTTACAGAAAACAGGAATAAACCTCCCTCTTAACACAGGGAAAATTCACATAAAACAAAAGATGAACTAATCCACCTTGCCTGGCTTACCTATACTGGTTGCAATATTGGAGACTTGGATTAGGGTGGGTTGGAGAAGATGGATTTCTATCTGGCCTCTCTCAGTCCCAAGAGAGAACAACCACCTAAACAAAGAGCACAACAAAAGCCTTACCCAACCAAGATTTGAAAGTATCTTGTTTCCTTATTGGTCCTTGGGTCAGGTGCCAGCCAGGTTAGCTGAGCTTCTTAACCCTTTACAGGTGAAAGGATTTTGCCTCTGGCCAGGAGGGATTTTCTAGCACTGTATACAGAAAGGTGGTTACCCTTCCCTTTATATTTATGACACCAAGTAATCTGAAGGAGACCACAGTATCCCAGCCTTCCGCAGACTACACAATGGAGTGCTTCTCTGCCACACCCCACCCTTCTTCTCCAGAGCTCGCTGCTTCTGCCCAGTCTGGTCTCCGATTCAGACCTAACGTGGATACTGGCCACTCACAAGCTTCATCCGCACCCTGCTACGAATTGCCTTTTCCTTAGAACTCCTCCCTGCGCGCCCGCCTCTCTCTGCCTCTTGACTGGAGAGTGCAAGCTCTGCGGGGCAGGGTGTAGGCAGCCGGGTTCAGTGGTTCGAGCCGGAAGCAGTCAGGCCTGAGGGATTAAGCCGGAGTCGGTAGCCGCAGTCCAGAGCCCAGGGTCAGGCTAGAACCAGTAGCCAGGAACCGCAGGGCTGGGCAGGGTGCAGAAGTGGGGACCAGGAGCAAGGCAAGGGCCATCTTGGCAGCAGATCTGGGATCTGCCGAGCACACAGACGATTTCCTGCACTCTCTCCCGGCTTAAATAATCGGTCTGGGCCAATGAGAGTTCGCGGGAGGGGCGGCGTGGGTGTCACTTCCTGCGGCGGCTGGTCTCCCAGCATTGGGTGGGGCTCTGCTGAGGCTGTCGGGGGCTGGCGCGAAGCGCTGCCTGCTTGGAGCTCCGCCGACCTGGGCTCAGGTCTCGCAAATCCCCACCGTGGGGATGGCGTGAATACGGTGTCGCACCTGGAGGGGTGTGCGCAGCAGGCTGCTTCCAGCCCTCAGGCCTCCATTCCGCCGCCTCGTCTGGCGCCCGGGAGGTGCTGCCGTGCAGACGGAGGGGCCGCCGGTCGTGGTCCCTTTCCCCCGCCCTGGCCTTCCCGCAGTGGGTGGCAATGCCGGGCCTTCCTGCTGCCATGGCAACGATCCAGCCTGGGCCCCGGATCTTGGGGCTGGATCTTGGGGCTGGACGTTGCTCCCTGGGCCTCTCTGTGCAAGGCCCACTGCCTGCAAGGGGAAGGGGAAGGAGCCGGCTCCGTCGCAGCCAGACGTCGCAGCTCCCCTCTGGCCACTTTCACGGTCACGGGATTTTAAAAAGCGTAGCTGTCATGCTGTCGGCTCCTTAAATCTGAAAGGTCACGGTGCTGCAACTGGAGGGCCCTGACCCAAAAAGGAGTGGTGGGGGTCACAAGGTTATCGTGTGGGGTGGGGGGTCTGCGCGGCTGCTGGCTGGGAGCCCAGTGCAGAAGGCAGAGACGCCGTCAGCCGCAGCCCGGCAGGACGCAGAGCACCGCACAGGGTCGCCGGCCTCGCTTCTGGGCTGCTGACTCCAGAGCTGGGCCCTCAGGCAGCAGCCGCCGCGCTCCAGCCACCCGGCTCCGAAGGCAGAAACGCAGAAGGAAGGGTGGCGACGCCGCGACCGCCCCTCAAATAACCTTGCGACCCCCCTGCAATCCCCTTTTCGGTCAGGACCAAACATGCCAAACCCGTGAGAAAAACACAGAAACTGGGCTTGTTTCTGGCTTAATTGGCTTGTGAGTTGCTTGTTGGCTAGTTTTTGGCTTGTTGCTTCTTTTATTTTGATTGGCTCCCGGCGAGGGGGGACAAGGGGGCAAGCAGGGGTGAGCAGGGGAGAGAGTCGGGTGCAGAGCAGGCCCACCACAGTCCCAGACTGCACGCGGGGGGCTCTAGTCCCATAGAGTGTTGGGCTTCCCAGGGACTGGCTTGTTTTGGCCCTGTTTTGAAATGGGATTATCTTGAATTCTGGCTTATTGTGAAAGTCTGGGTGCTTATTTACTGCATGAAAGTTGACAACTGCGGTCAGGACCTCCAATTTGAGAAACGCTCGTCTCCCCCGTGAAATTTGTATAGTGTACGGGAAAAGCACACACATGACCAGATTTCACAGGGGGAGACCAGATTTTACGGTCCGTGACATGTTTTTCCTGGCCATGAGTTTGGTAGGGCCCTAATTATTGGCTGGCTTAGCTGCTGCGATGCCAACCACATCAGTGAAGATGAGGCCAAGTTTAGTCTGCCCTCATGTTCGCCAGGCGTGGTTAAACCCTGCGGGGACCTAATGATCACAGCCATGGGCAGCAGGTGAACCCCTGCTTTGTGGAGGCTAGCCCCCCGTCCCTGCCCCTTCTGCCCAAAGGCCCCAGCCCCACATGCCAGCACCCCAAAATCCTACCTTCCTAACAGGAGAAGCCCTGAGGGGCCCCCCCATGACCGGAGGAGCCCTGGCCCACCCGCCCCAGCCACATGGGACCAAGCCACCAGCCCCCCCGATATACTGCCACCACCCCGAGCACTGGGCCCATCTGCCAGCCCCCCAAGTGCCAGGCTGGCCTCAGCACCACACTGAGCTACCAACCCCCGTGCCCCTGACAACCCTCACAGCTGAGCCACCGCCCCCCCCCCACCAGGACTGGCCCAAGCTGCCAACCCCCCAAGTGCCAGGCCAGCCCCCCCACCAGTGCCGGCCCAAGCTGCCAGCCCCTCCCCCCCCCCAGTACTGGCCTGAGCAGCCAGCCCCTGCAAAGTACTGGCCCCCTGAACCCCAAAGGCTCTCCCCTGGCCAAACCACTGGCTCTCCGCGTCCCTCCTCACTCCTCCAGCCCCGAGGAGGAGGAGGGACACGGCGAGAGCCGTGGGGACCTCCGGAGGTGGGGGTGGAGTGGAGGAGCTGCAGGCAGCGGGGGCCTCGGGGATGGGGTGGGGCTACTGTGGCCCAGGTGTCTGGCAGCGGGTCGGCCGCAGTGCTGAGTCTGCCCTGGCCTATTCTACCCACCGCCCACGATCACAACTGGATTTTGTGGTGCAGACGCACGTCTAAATTGCCTGACAGGGTTCCTGGCGAAGCGTCCTTCCTCAGCACTGCCCCGAACCGCGGTCTCCCCAGCTCCGCTTTGTTCGTCATCGTCCCAGTCTCGGTGTCTTTAATTAGTCACCTGCTTCCGTGCTGCTTCTTCTGCTCCTCTGCTGTGCGTGTCCCTTGTAGTCTCTGTCTGGTTGATTTCCTTGTCGCGCCGAGGAGCCCAGACTCCACGGCAGTATCCAGCCGTACGAAGAGGAAGCGCCGTTTCTCTGGCCTCAGGCGATAACCCTCTGCGGGCAGCCCTGGGGCCCTGCTCACGCTGCGCACTTCTGCCTGGTAAGCCTGGTGATAGCAGATAAGAAACTTGGATGGGAGGCAGCTGCGGCTTACGGCCGAGGGGGGGTGTTGCTGGAGATGTGTCTGGGGTCTGGGACGGCGGCGGTTCCTTCCACTTTGCGTTCGGCCTGAGACCGGAGGCGTGGAACCGTAGAGGGGGCTGATTTGGCTAGTGGTTTGAGTGATTTATAGGAGCTCGCAGCTGGGTGACAAACTCACCCCCAAAGGAAACCTTGCACGCAAGCAGAAATGTTTGTGCACAGCCACTCCTGACTGCCCCAGAGTGTCCCTCGGGTCTCTGGTCGAACGAAGCTGCTTCCTCCCGCTCCGCCCTGTCAAGAAAATGCAAAACCCTCGAAAATGGACAGTGAGGGAGGGGTAAATCTCAGCCTTTCCTCTGCTCCCAAGTGAGTTGACAGCTTGGACAGCAGCTGGGCGACCGGAAAGAGCTGTGGAAGTGACCCAGCTACCTGTGAAACAGGCTAGATCCTCAGCGGCGTGAGCCAGCGTCGCTCCTGTGGAAGGATGCTTGCTTATTGACACCAGCGGGGAAGCTGGCCCGTAGCATTTCTCTCAAACGTCATTTCCCTCCAATAAGAGCCAAATGTTAAGTCTCCACTGAGCTCCAAAGCAAGGTGCCTGGTGCGGTCTCTGTCGCCCTGAGCTCCTGTTTCACACTGTAGTTATAAAGACCATCTCTACATAAGTTTTTCTACAAGTTCAAACACTCTCCTAACAGCCAGCTCACTTCCTCCAGCTCTTTCCCTCTCCTGCTATTTGTTTTAGCAAGCCAGCAGGGTAAGAGATTTCACAGACCTGCTGAAAATGTAGAGAAAGTCCATGGCTTGGGTCTGGCAGCAGCCTTAATTCTTCTGCATATAATTCCATATGGCTCCATGTCTAGTTGGCAGCCGGTGTCAAGTGGAGTGCCCCAAGGGTCGGTCCTGGGGCCGGTTTTGTTCAATATCTTCATTAATGATCTGGAGGATGGTGTGGATTGCACTCTCAGCAAATTTGCGGATGATACTAAACTGGGAGGAGTGGTAGATACTCTGGAGGGCAGGAATAGGATACAGAGGGACCTAGAAAAATTGGAGGATTGGGCCAAAAGAAATCTGATGAGGTTCAATAAGGATAAGTGCAGGGTCCTGCACTTAGGACGGAAGAACCCAATGCACAGCTACAGACTAGGGACCGAATGGCTAGGCAGCAGTTCTGTGGAAAAGGACCTAGGGGTGACAGTGGACGAGAAGCTGGATATGAGTCAGCAGTGTGCCCTTGTTGCCAAGAAGGCCAATGGCATTTTGGGATGTATAAGTAGGGGCATAGCGAGCAGATCGAGGGACGTGATCGTTCCCCTCTATTCGACATTGGTGAGGCCTTATCTGGAGTACTGTGTCCAGTTTTGGACCCCACACTTCAAGAAGGATGTGGATAAATTGGAGAGAGTCCAGCGAAGGGCAACAAAAATGATTAGGGGTCTGGAACACATGAGTTATGAGGAGAGGCTGAGGGAGCTGGGATTGTTTAGCCTGCAGAAGAGAAGAATGAGGGGGGATTTATAGCTGCTTTCAACTACCTGAAAGGGGGTTCCAAAGAGGATGGCTCTAGACTGTTTTCAATGGTAGCAGATGACAGAACGAGGAGTAATGGTCTCAAGTTGCAGTGGGGGAGGTTTAGGTTGGATATTAGGAAAAACTTTTTCACTAAGAGGGTGGTGAAACACTGGAATGCGTTACCTAGGGAGGTGGTGGAATCTCCTTCCTTAGAGGTTTTTAAGGTCAGGCTTGACAAAGCCCTGGCTGGGATGATTTAACTGGGAATTGGTCCTGCTTCGAGCAGGGGGTTGGACTAGATGACCTTCTGGGGTCCCTTCCAACCCTGATATTCTATGATTCTATGATTCCATCAGCAGCTGCATGCAGCAGAGCAAAATACTATGGCTGCCAATGGAAGGGGTTTGAAATGCTGAAAACCTCCCGGTGCCAATGGGATTTCAAAGCCATGGAATTAGAGGCCTGTCTGCCATAGCTAATGCCGCTGCCCCCCTACCCCCCTCGCTGGTGGACTAACAAAATTCCTGTTTTATTGTGTCTGTCTGCAGCACAAAGCCGGCGCATGAAAAAGCAGCTTCCCTGAAGAGCTCTGAGCTCATGCGCAGCCGGGAGAAACTGGAGGCGTCTCATAAGGAGAAGAGCTTGGATGCCCTGGATGGCAGGTGAGCTCTGAAATGGTTTGGATTTGTAGGGTCTGATGCCAGATTAAAGTCTGGAACCATGTTGGTTGTGATCAGCTAATTAGTTCTCTGACACGCACAGGATGGGGTTTTCTTTTCACTACTGATTGTGAACAGCGTCCCGAGATGTGCTGGCCCTCTTAGTGCAGCATATCTCCCCCAGTGTGACCACATCGCCTCTTCCTCTCCCAGGGACGCAGCCACGTTCCTGCATGTTACAGCAGCAGCATGCTGAGGACAGAGCTCCTGGTCTAAGTCCTTAGGGCTGTCTGGGCTGGATGTGGGGAATTTCTTGGAATGGGGAGTGGTACCTGGAGAAGGACTGTTAGGGTTACCTGCTGGACCCAGCTTAGCCCTTTCCAGCTCTGTGTTTTACCTCTAACTCCACCTACAAGCGCTTCTCCTCTCTGCTCTCTTCCTCCTCCAAGTGCTTTGCCTCTCTTTCCGCTTCCGCCTCCAAGCGTTTCACCTCTCTTCTTGCCTTGCTTCCAACGCCAGGGCTGGCCACTGGGACACGGGGTCTTTCCCCACAATGGGGTGCCGGCTGTGATCCAACCCCATGGCTGGCCACAGGGACATGGGGCCTTTCCCCTCTTTGAGGCACCAGCTCCCACCCAGCCACAGGGCTGGCCATTGGGTCACAGGACCTTTCCCCTCCAGGGGGTGCCGGCTCCCATCTGCCCTCAGAGCTGTCCACTGGAACACTGTGATGGGTTGGATCACAGAAACCCTCTTTGGGACTGCCACCTGATGTGCTTTGACTACCTCTGAGTCTGTTTTCCCTGCCAGCTTAGGACTTCAGTACCCTGCCTTGTTGAGCCAGACACACTAGCCTGCTACAAACCCATACCCAGGTCTGAACAATGTTCCCCAAAAGGCTGCAGGCTTAACTGAAAACAGCTTAAGAAATGTTCCTGTCTCCAATGCTCAGATGCCCAGCTCCCAGTGGGGTCCAAACCCCAACTAAATCCTTGTTACTCTGTATAAAGCTTATACAGGGTAAACTCATAAATTGTTCTCTCTCTACAGCACTGATAGATATGCACAGCTGTTTCCCCCCCTCCCTCGGTATTAATACATACTCTGGGTTCATTAATAGGTAAAAAGTGATTTTATTAAATACGAAAAGTAGGATTTAAGTGATTCCAAGCAATAACAGAAAGATGAACTCTCACCCTCAGAGATGTTCCAGTAAGCTTCTTTTACAGACTAGTCTCCTTCTAGTCTGGGTCCAGCAATCACTCACACCCCCTGTGGTTATTGTCCTTTGTTCCAGTTTTTTTCAGGTATCCTTGGGGGTGGAGAGGCTATCTCTTGAGCCAGCTGAAGACAAAAACAGAGTGGTCTCTTGTTGGTGGAGACCCCCTCCTCTCTCCCATGCAAAATCCAGCTCCAAGATGGAATTTTGGAGTCACATGGGCAAGTCACATGTCCATGCATGACTCAGTTTTTACAGGCAGCAGCCATCACCCACATGCTGTCTTGAATGTCTCCAGGAAGACTTCTTGTGTGGATTGGAGTGTTCCAAACTCCTTCCTTAGATATTTTTAAGGTCAGGCTTGACAAAGCCCTGGCTGGGATGATTTAGTTGGGGATTGGTCCTGCTTTGAGCAGGGGGTTGGACTAGATGACCTCCTGAGGTCCCTTCCAACCCTGATCTTCTATGATTCTATGATTCTATACCATTATGTGCCAGCAATGCCCCTCTGCCATGTACCTTGGCCAAACTGGACAGTCTCTATGCAAAAAAATAAATGGACACAAATCTGACATCAGGAATCATAACATTCAAAAACCGGTAGGAGAACACTTCAAACTCTCTGGCCACTCAGTAAAAGACTTAAGGGTGGCAATTCTTCAACAGAAAAGCTTCAAAAACAGACTGGGGTGGGAGGAGGTATTGTTTCATATTCTCTGTGTGTATATAAAGTCTGCTGCAGTTTCCACGGTAAACATCTGATGAAGTGAGCTGTAGCTCACGAAAGCTCATGCTCAAATAAATTGGTTAGTCTCTAAGGTGCCACAAGTACTCCTTTTCTTTTTGTGAATACAGACTAACACGGCTGTTCCTCTGAGACTCCAATAAGAAACTGCTGAGCTTGAATTAATATGCAAACTAGATACCATTAACCTGGGTTTCAATAGAGACTGGGAGTGCCTGGGTCATTACACATATTGAATCTATTTCCACATATTAAGTATCCTCACACCTTCTTGTCAACTGTCTAAATGGGCCATCTTGATTATCACTACAAAAGTTTTTTTTCTCCTGCTGATCATAGAATCATAGAATATCAGGGTTGGAAGGGACCTCAGGAGGTCATCTAGTCCAACCCCCTGCTCAAAAGCAGGACCCATCCCCAATTAAATCATCCCAGCCAGGGCTTTGTCAAGCCTGACCTTAAAAAATTCTAAGGAAGAAGATTCCACCCCCTCCCTAGGTAACGCATTCCAGTGTTTTACCACCTTCCTAGTGAAAAAGTTTTTCCTAATATCCAACCTAAACCTCCCCCACTGCAACATGAGACCATTACTCCTCGTTCTGTCATCTGCTCCCACTGAGAACAGTCTAGATCCATTCTCTTTGGAACCCCCTTTCAGGTAGTTGAAAGCAGCTATCAAATCCCGCCTCATTCTTCTCTTCTGCAGACTAAACAATCCCAGTTCCCTCAGCCTCTCCTCATAAGTCATGTGTTCCAGTCCCCTAATCATTTTTGTTGCCCTCCGCTGGACGTTTTCCAATTTTTCCACATCCTTCTTGTAGTGTGGGGCTCAAAAACTGGACACAGTACTTCAGATGAGGCCTCACCAATGCCTAATAGAGGGGAATGATCACGTCCCTCAATCTGCTGGCAATGCCCCTACTTATACATTCCAAAATGCCATTGGCCTTCTTGGCAACAAGGGCACACTGTTGACTCATATCCAGCTTCTCGTCCACTGTAACCCCTAGGTCCTTTTCTGCAGAACTGCTGTCTAGCCATTCGGTCCCTAGTCTGTTGCGGTGCATTGGATTCTTCCTTCCTAAGTGCAGGACTCTGCACTTGTCCTTGTTGAACCTCATCTGATTTCTTTTAGCCCAATCCTCTAATTTGTCTAGGTCCCTCTGTATCCTATCCCTACCCTCCAGCTCATCTACCTCTCCTCCTAGTTTAGTGTCATCTGCAAACTTGCTGAGGGTGCAATCCACACCATCCTCCAGATCATTAATGAAGATATTTAACAAAACCGGCTCCA